AGTCCATCAACGGGGGTATCTCCTGGGCCATGCTTACAAGGTGTTTCCATTTGTTGGCTGTCTGGCAAGTGGGAATATGTGTGCGGTCAAGGGGAATGAAGTCCCTTGTGTAGGCTGGAGGCAAACTGATGGAAACATTAGAGGAAAATCCTCTAACTTTGAGCTTGCATACTCTTTGACTCTTCACGACTGAGTCTCTCCCCATCATGGTGGAAAGTTTAAGTTTCACTGGTTCCATTGTTGCTTGTAGCTTTTCGCACACCTCCTGATCAACAAATGTGTGACTGCTTTGAGTGTCCAATAGTGCATACACTAGGGTTTCAGTGTCCGGAGCACTAAGTGTTGAGATCCACACTGGGACTATCATTGATGTACTCCCACCTTCACCTCCACTCACACAACATGATAATGAAAACGTACTTTCTTCAACTGCGCCTTGTGTTGATGCTGCTGTAGAACGATCTTCATGCAATGGCGTTGGGTGACTCTTTCTGCATATGCCACACATGGCCCTGTTCCTACAGTCTTTAGAATTGTGACCCTTTCTTAGACATGCAAAACACAACTTATTTTCAAGTATGCATTTTTTCTTATCCTCTACAGACATGTCCATAAGCCTCTTGCATTTATGTATGGAATGGTTCTCACTACAGCAAATACACTGGCCATTATTGGAATTTTGTGTTGGTGTGGTCCATTTCTTTGGTTTCCCTGCATCTCCCAACTTGATTTCACCAGGGTCAGATTTGGCGGTGGAGCTTGATGGAATCGGGGGTTTCACATTTGTGGCAAACGTGTTTGCTTTTGAACGCTTCATCTCTCTTGCTGGTGCCTCTGCAGAGTGCCTTAAGGCATGTAAGGATGACACTGGATTGCATGCGATGCGTGACTCCTTAGAGATAAAGGAAGCAAACTCATGAAAGCTTGGATAGTCGTTGCCCCGATCTAGCTGCTCTGTGACATAACGGTTCCATCTAGATGTCACCCAATCAGGAAGCTTGACTAGTATTTTCTGATTCTCCTCACAGTCGTTAAGAACCTGTAAGCCCTTTACGTGAGGCATGGCATTACTACATGTTTGGAGGAAATCACTGAAATCTCTTAACTTGAGATATTCCTTTCCACCAATCTTCGGCCACCCATTTAGCTTATCTCTGAAAGCCCGCTGCACTACAAAGGAATGGCCATATCTAGCATTTAACCTATCCCATGGTTGTTGATAGGCTTCTTCATCTTTTCTGTAGAAGCTGCCTTCAAGAGAGGCTTTTGCCTCACCTGCTATGTACTTTTGCAGGTAGAATAGCCTGTCTGCAGGGTCAGAACATCGTCTCTCTATGAGGGCTTTGAAGCTTATGCTCCATTCTGTAAACTTCAGAGGATCGCCCGAGAATACAGAAGGTTCTGGAGTTGGCAAGCGAGTAAGAGCTAATGACTCTTGTAGCGATTGGACCAATGATGTCTCGTTTTGCACAACCTGCCGTTCTTGATCTGGGATGTGGTGAGCGAAGGGGTGTGCATCACTCGCTTTGCTGAATGGAGGACTGCGTGTCCCATCCCTTCCCTCTTCTTCAGTGTAGACATTTAGCTTTGCCTGAATTACATCAATGTCCCTCTGATTTTCAAGTTTTCTCAACTGCTGACGTTGAGCTTCGATGGCAGCTTCCATATCAATTTCGGCTTTCTTTGCAGCCAGCTGAGCAGCCACTTCCGCTCTCATAGCTGGAATGCTAGGTGACTCTGAGAGATGGTTAGAATTGTGACAGCTGGGTGCAGTAACTCTGGAGGCTGTGGATCCATATATGGACCTAGCATATTCATTATCAAGTAGCATGCGTAACCTTGATCTTTCCGCCACCGTGTCAAACTCACCTTCATCTTCAGTCAGACGTACTCTCATCAGCTGCAGCAAGTTGGCCGTCACTGAGCATGCATCGATCTTTCTTCGAAATTCTTGACTTGGTGAGGTTTGGAGTCGAATTCTGTCATACTGTTCCTTTAATTCAGACTCAAGCTTCTCAGCCTCATCCATCATATCATACATGTCACTCTCAGAGCATACTTGCTTTAACTTTGTGCGAATGTCTCTTACGTTGCTTTTCCATTTCTCGTATGTTGCTTTGAACCTCTTCTCCTTTTGAGTTAACTCTTGATCTTTCAGTTCCTGCATTTTTGGCGTTAATCGCCTTTCACGAGAGGATTTTCTTGTTTTTGTCTCAGATTTCTCAGACACTACACTTTTTTCCTCTTCCAAATCCCCTGCATCTTGTACTTCTGACATAACATCAGGGTGACTATGACCATCTTTAGACATTTTCAGACTTTAAAGGGGGTATCTTATGAAGAGGACAAGATAACTAAGGTAATTACAAGAATGGATGTAATAGGCGGAGAATTATTAAAATTAACACAAAGGAACCTTAGCTTAGATTCTTACGTATGACAGCAAATAAATTTTCAGTTTCAGCCTTCATGAAGCTTGCAAGCAACAGGTAAGAAAACAACAATAATTTCCAGAACTTCAACAGATTGTCCTTTTTTTTTGTTTGTTTGTTTGTTTGTTTGCTTGTTTGTTTGTTTTTTTTACACAATCCGAAATTTGAACACTATTAATTCCTTGTCCATTACAGCAAATTTGTAGCTCATGTTCTATCCATCAACTCATGAGGCATAATAACTGCGCAATATAGCCTGAGGACTCACGCTTTAGCCTGAAACCGCTTCTTGGAGTGTCCGCTGAATCTGCAGCTCCCGATTGGTTGTCACAAAATGCAAAGCAACGTGTCCACTGAAGCCTGTAGCTCGCTGCAGGATGAGAAGCAACCGAGACCTGTAGCTTGCTGCAGGATGAGAAGAGCTTTGCACACCGAAGCCTGTAGCTTGCTGCAGGAGGGGAAGCGCGTTTGCAAACCGAGACCTGTAGCTTGCTGCAGGATGAGAAGAGCTTTGCACACCGAAGCCTCCAGATGGATTGGGACACGTTTTCACTGTTTCTACTCTGGTCGAAAGAATCCACGCTTCGTACTGATGTCCACAATTCTTTTATTCCTCTCACAATCATGGAGCACCGTGAAAACTAGAAACAAGTAAAATAATATCGATAGCACATATGATATTCATCTCAGCCACTTATTTCCTTTCACAAGGTGCACAAGTGTTAAACAAATAACAGCATAATGATTTTTTACCGTGTACGCCTTGTAAAACCAGCAGTAGAAAAGTTGTATATTCCGAAAAGTCCGCCGTGTTACCGTTCTGTCTTGTCTCTCCCGCGCACAACTTCCGGTTCCCGCAACTCACAGGAAGTGACTACTTCACAATAATATTTTAACAGAAACATTTCTTATAAGCAGGATATATCACTGGATTCATAGATTACCTTTCCTACTGCAAATGTACACAAGCATGAGAAGCAAATAAAGAAAACAAATAGAAAACAATAACGATCTCAGATTCACTTTGGTGTTGTCATGGCAACCCACACAAACATTTCAGCGTCAGCTACACTGGCCATCGGGCTTATTTGACTTATTTTTTATTTTTTTTGTAACGGCATGAACAATGAGAGGTGGTGGATTGGCCAGATGCAGGTCGATGTGTAGAAATAACTCCGTTGTTTGGTGGTGGCTATGGCGGGGCTTCCACAGAGGCAGCAGGTGGATGAGGGAAGGGGAGGCAGGAGGAGAGCCCCGAGGCAGCCACCAGTCCGAGTGTCAGGTGAACTGAACTTCAGGTAAGAAGTCATGACCTGCAGTCTCTCTGGGTCAGATATAAACTAAGTTTAGGTGGAGTTTATTTTCGTTGTGCTGACTTTTTACTGTCAGTTGCAATAACTCATACTGCGTTCTAGCCAGCTTGGAGTTTTTATACAGCTGTTCGGTTGCTATGATGTTAATGATAGTGAACTTTATTTTATTCATAAGGTTAGTTAGTAGAGTTGCCAACGGCTCCTTAAAAAAATGGAATGCTCCCTCAATCAGAGAAAATATTACACGTTTCGTATTGAGCTGAGAAGAGACGCAGTTTGTCCCGAACTTCAGCTAGAATGGAAAAAGACAAAGCTGGATTTATTCTGTGTTTACGCTGCACAGCTGCCTCTTCTCTCATCCTGCCTCTCCTGTTGCTACTTCAATCATGAAACTGATCGATGATCAGCTGATCGGCTTTTCTCTCTTGTTTGTTTATCGCCCACTTTGCGCCAGAAAGACGAAACCAGCAGATGTCGCGCTAAACAACAGCAGCACGTTTAAGCTTGATCGGCTGTTGTTAGAATTTATTTAATATTAATTTCTAGTATCAGCTGATGTTTTCTGGAGCCACAGCTGTAAAGCTGCTGGTCATGATGTCGGTTTGGATATCTGGTGAGAGGGAAACGTGAAGACCACCCACCAGGATCCTTTTTTATGTAGCTGACAGCTGGTAACTGTGCAGGGGCGGGTCTAGCAAAGTTTTGCCAGGGGGCCAGGTAGGGCATTAACAGGGAAAGGGGGAACAAAGAAATACTTTTCTTTCTTATTCTCATTTAAAATATCTAGCTTTTATTAAATAATTATCTAAATCTTACAACCAAAGTTTTTATCTGACGTAAAATGTATAGAAATCATACATATACCAAAAAGACTGTACATCACTGTCACAACAGGGTTTGTTTTCATTCAAAGGCTTTATGGCTTTAATACCTGGTGGGTCGGTCTGTAGTCAAACTGCTTCCTCACTTCTAGTCTACACCTCTTACTTTTTTTACAGTTCACAAAGGAGAAAGAGAAAATGTCTAGAACTGACTGCCGTTATAGCACCTTAAAAGAAAATACTAATACGGTTCAACCAAGAAGAGACAGACACAAACCCAAATTCATTTAACATCAGTTTGCAATACCAAATGATCCAAGAATCAACCAGCACTCAAAATCCTGCTACTGCCAACCAACAAAACAAAAATTTTCTCGAGGCTGAAGTGCTTTTGCTCTGTAATACAACTCAACGTTTCTTTTTACACCTTCCAGGTGAGGTTTTTCACTCCACAGTGCCAGAGAAGCTGAGCCTTGCCACCGCCTCCACTCACTGCCATTCCCTGGGAGCCCAGCTGGCTACTGTTGGGCAGCTCTTCCTCGCCTGGCAGGCTGGTCTTGACCAGTGTGATCCCGGCTGGCTCGCTGATGGCAGCGTTCGCTATCCCATCAACGTCCCGCGGAAGAACTGCGGTGGAGACGAGCCTGGGGTACGGACTGTCTACAACAACCCGAACCGGACTGGGTTTCCTGACACCGCAGCTCTGTTTGATGCCTACTGCTACCGAGGTACTAAGCCCTCTGCGATAATGAAGGTGATGCAGTTACATTGTGGTAATTGCCATGGTAACGAGCGTTGTATCTGGGGAATTGTTTCCCCTTCTGATTTTTAATTAACATGAGATGTTGGTGTCACACATGAAGGAGTTGTGAAGAGACTGCGACATTTGTTTCCCCTCAATGGATATCAGGGCTTGTATGTTGTGGGTTTCTGCGCTTGCAAGACAGAATGGAAATGTGGATCAAATAAGAGTGAGAGCATGACTAAAGCAAGTCTAGCTGGGGTCTGCAGTGACTGTGTCTGGCCTTGTCCTCTTATCTGCTGACACACGAATAAGTTGGGCTCATCTTCAAACTGAATGAACTATTTTGTTCACTGTTTGTAGCCAACTTCTTCCACCAACACACACAGAATAAGAACTGATATTATGAGAAGACTACAAATTAATATTTAGGTAGGAAAAAAGAAAGAATGACAATTTCATCTTTCACATTGTCAGCCCATGAAAATGTAACTGAAGTGAAACATCTGCATAACCCAGTAATTTTAAAGTAAACAAGAACAGCGTGAGAGCGGAGCAGCAGTGAATCTGTCAAAACAAACAGCTGACAGATGAACCTCTTCATAGCACCAACAATGCTGAACGCAGATTTACAAGAATAATGTCTTTCAGATAGCTAAAAGTAGATAAAAATGGTAATGGATTTTGTTTATTAACATAGATATGGTTCGTGTGAATAATATTGTGGATACAGTCACATTTATATATTTGCTGATTTCAAATGGTTGTAATTTTTTGTAGAAAAACAGATCTACTTGTGATATCTATAACACATGTGTGTCCTACTCTGGATTTAATCTTCTTAAAAATAAGGAATGTGAGGTTTTGGGCTGTGTTGTAAGGTAGAAGACAAAACAAGTCAATTGATGTTTGATTGTGTGTTTCAGCCCACCAGCCAGCAGGGGTGCAGGCTGCGGAGCCACAGCCTTTGTATCAGACACCTCACCTGGCAGCAGAGGCCATGTCCTTATTAACCGAAGCCCAGGATAGTGCCTCTATTCCTAAGACTTCCACCTGGACTGGCCTTGTTGACTTAGATGAAGTACGAGTCCCGTCCATTGCTGGAATCAACAACTCATCTGAGATCTCCGAAGAGCATGTGATCACCCACTTAAGGCCTGAGGAGGGTTGGGATGAAACTCAGGATGGACCTGGAACGCCAGAACCCAGCCAGAATGAGTCACACAGCTTAAATAACAGCAAGACTCTGGGCGTTTCTGACCTTGAAACCTTCGAGAAGCATGGAGGCTCTGCCCATGAGGAAGAAGATGGAAGCTACTTTGGATCTGAGACCCCAACATTATCCTCAATTTCTACTTCCACGCCCCAAGTTCAAACCAGTAATAGTATTCTGACTGACTTTGTTAACACTCTTATGAGGCCTTTTAGATACTGGACTCAGAGTGAGAAAGGCGATGATACAGAGAAAACACCCATGGTGCCAGACGAAAAGACAACAAATAACCAAACACAGGGGGAAGCGCCCAGCAGGAACCCAAGTTTTCCAAAACCCAGTGGGAAAAAGGGCAGCATAGATAATGCCATTATGGAGCACAGAAGTGGCACTTTTTCTTTCAGGAGTCCGGTGACTGAGCTGCAGAACTCAGAAGAAGGTCTTTCCAGTGAGGAGAAAGAGGTGATGCCATTGATTCAGTTAGTACCTGCAGTCCAAAGCACAGAGGCAAGTGGTACGAGCAGCCCTCCAGGAGAGAGAACAACGAGCCCCATCGCTGACCACACTCAATCTGCTGTTAAAGGTATGCGTTCAGCTTTTAATTTGTATGTATATTTCTATCTACAATTCAACTTTACCCTTTAAAACAAATAACTACACGTGAAATTGAAACAGAAATGAGCCTAAATTGAAGCTGTTTTGTTTCAAATGGAGGCGGGGTGCATTTGAATATCTCTGGTAAATATAGAATCTGTTTGTGTCATGCCTTTTAAATAGTCTCTGCCTCTCCATTCCACTCTATCTTCTTTCCCCTCGAGTATGCCATAATATATTCCTCCGCAGGGCAATTTGAAGTATCGCTGTAAATTTAATTAAACAGTAATTGCAAACAAACAAAGGGGGCACAGCACATACAGTAATGCAGGGTGTTGGAGTGTTCTGCCTTCATTCTCATATTTATTCAAAAAGCGCTTTGTTTACATTGCAGGCTGTAAGAGTAACAGCTATGCTTACTTTTTTAAACCTATTTGAATGTGATGAAATGTGTTTTTTTTTTTGTCTTTTGTATTTTTGTTTAAAAGAGGACAACTTACAGCCTGTTTTTTTTAGGAAATGGAGCTATATTAGACTATATTAGTGGGAATACCTGTGGCTAATATTATAATATAGAATAATATAGAAACATTTCAAAATCCATCTTTCATAGTGATTAACAAGGATACAAAAAAAATCCAAACATACAAGTCCTAAAATCCTGAGATTTAAAGGAAGACATGAGAATCTGGAGTGCAAAGTCTGATATATAATACTGTGCTGAAGTCTTGAGCCCCTCATTTCTTTTTGCTTTGATTCCAAGGAGCCAGATTTTCTTGTGATTGTTTTAAAGTGGCGTTGGGCTATAGTTCTCTCAGCTGTCTGAAGGTCTTTCAAAGTTTGTCTTTGATCATTGGCCGCTCTTTCACACATTTTCCATCCAGTCCCTGTATGTGGCCATGTTGAATGGAATGCCTCTTTGCTTGTTAAGCCACCTAAGACTGACCTTTGAATCCTTCAAGCATAAAAAGGGGCACCTAACTCAAGGGACGAGCCAGCGTTGTGACAGACAGCTTAGCAAAGAAAAATTTTAAACTGTTTCTTTAGCTAGCCTTATAATAGCAGCCTGTTGTAAAAGCACGTCATTTGTTGCTATTTCTTCTGTTGAATCTACAGAAATGCCAAAAATAACACAGTTTGATCGGCATAAAATAGTGTTTGTGGTACAATAAAGTAATTTTTGAAGAGTTATTAGCCAAAAACAGGCATTTTTAGGATAGTTTGCTGTGTGTCCTTAAACGTTTTGAGGAAACAGGACAAACAGAGGACAAAAGAAGAAATAGCAGGTCTAAAAAAAACTATCTGCAGCAGAAGAGCAGTATCCAGCAAAGACCTGACAGAGGACTTGAGAGAAGCAGCTGGCCCTTCAGTTGATTCATCATCCATTCACTGAAGCCTTGTCGGAAATGGTCTCAATGGAAGTGTAGCTGTCAAGGAGCCATTCTCAGATAGACAACAGCAAGAAAAGCCTGACAACTGCCAAATTACACAAGAGCTGGGCTGAAAATCAATGGCAACAGGCCTGATGGAGTGATGGCTCTAAATGTGAAATTTCTGGTTGAAACCGTGATCAACAAGTGTGGAGCAATTCAGAAGAGAGGCACAACAGTGAGTGTCCACAGCCATCTGTAAGACATGGTGGAGGCTCTGTCATGGTTTGGGGCCACATTTTAGCGAGTGGTGTTGAAAATCTTGTCAAAATTGATGGAATTATGAATGCAGAGAAGTACCATCAGATTTTGATCCACCATACAATACCATCTTTAAAGTATTTGATTAGTAAATAAGTTAATTGATTAGGTCAGTGCATACAAGCATACCTGGATGGAAAAAGACAATGGAACACTATCAGTCATGGATTGGCCTCCCCAGAGCAACACTCCCGAAGCAACGTTGCCTCATCTTGACAAAGAAAAGAACAAAAAGGTAGCCAACATCCAAAGAAGAGCTTTGAGTGTCCTTCAGGAAGAATGGAGAACTATTCCTGAAGAATAGTAAAAGGAATTACAAGAAAACTGTCTAAGAGAGTTCAGGCTGTGTTAAAAAATAAATATGGTGTTACCAAATACTGACTTTAAAGCTCATCAAAATTGTACACATCAACTGTTTTGCCTTATATAGTGTATTCTACTATAATACTAAATTAGAGCACATCAGAAAGAGGTAAACAAGCAAGGCTAAAAAGAAAGTGTACTACAACCTTGGGTTGATGGAAGCAGGAAGCTTTTCTTTAATGGCTGCCACAAATAACACATCCATGGCGCCAGCTAAATAGGAAAGATCCAAAGTAAGACAAACATTCACACCAGCAGCCAAAAGAATGATTCAATAAAGGTGCAAGGCTTTTCTCACCTAGCAATTGCTGGCTTTATTAATATAAATACTCACTGCTGTGCTACCTGAAATCCCATAGCAACCCAATCCCAAGGTATTAATGAAAATCCATCCTTTAGTCCGCATGCATTATTCACAACCTTATCCAATTAACATGGAGGCTGGGCTGCAATGCCGTTCACTCTAACCACCATCCATGTCTCTGCCAATTAGGCCCCAGCTCTTTGAAGGTAGGCAGTAATGATCACTACAGTGTGGGTGAGCAACACACGAGGAGCGTGAGTATAGGAGGGAAGAAGCAAACAAAGGGAAAGATGGAGGAAGGACTGTGAGGTGTAGTTTTTTTTTTCTTTAATGTTGCTGTGATGGAAAACTGCCCAGCTGATGTCTAGTAGAACCAATGAACTAAATTAGCTGTTGTTGTGCATCAAGGGCTCAACACTTGATAGCGATTAACATTGCTGTTTTGTCTCTTTGATTGAGGGGAGGAAAACATTTGTTAAGATGGGAATTTATATAATGATCACATTTATTTCAGATGCTTAAAAATTCTTTGCATCAAGAGCATTCAGTTAAATTATTTGCCAAGAAAATATGAGTATTTTGAACATTTTAATAAACTGAAACAGCATGTTAACAAATTATATTCAGGTCAAGAATCACAGCTGAGGAAATATTTGCCAGCTTCATACCAGTCTCAGAAGACAGTGAGGTCTTCACACTGACACTCAGTGTGGCTGCTCCTGACATGATTCACCTGGCCATGCAATAACTTTGCCTCAGTCTTTTTTTATTAGATGCCATATCTGTAGATGGAATGAGCTGGCATTAGTACCATCTTCTGTCTCGCGCGCCTTCTCTTTCTATCATTGTCAGTCTCCTCGCTCGCAATTTAATATCATGTCTGCCTGACCTGCAGGGATTCTTTCAGCCCGTTTACTCCACTAAAGTGGAGTCAACACAGCAGAACCACTCAGTGGAAGCACACAATTACTGTCTGAATGAGGTTCATTATAAGTTTATTTTGCAGCATTTTTGCTCTGAGTTCTGGCCATTTCCACCAAGCCCTCCACCAGCAGATTTACAGCAGCTGAGCTGAACTCTAACCATGCTCTAAATAGCGCCATGAAATCACCCAAACCTATGCCTAATCGTCTCATTTTATTTATTACATGGTTCATTACATAGATGATCAAACCAGATTAATGTGTTTAATTATTCTCACTTCCATCAGTGTGTGTAGTAAAAGTATGTAATTAGCTATTTGGATTATTAATAGGACAATTACACCAGGCTACATGGCTCTTATGGAAATGAACCTCAGGCTCGTAAACCTCACTTAGGCATACGGCAACAGCGAACCTTCTGAATAATTTACATACACTTTAATATTTTATGCATAGACATATTTGTGCATGTTGTCCATCTTGAGGTAATTTGTTGTGCTGTATTGCTATACTTTTCTGGCACGTTAACCGAACTGAGGGTAGCCAAACTGGGCTGAATGATTATAAAGGTGGGATCACTAACTAGACCTCTCAGTAATGTGACTGCACCACTCTCCTAAAAAAAATCCCCACGAACATCATCCATGAGTTACACATGCAGACAGAATGAATTATTGATGGTGTAGACAGAGTCTGGTTTAAAGCTGTAAGCTGATAACATACAGTGGAACATTTCATCTAAATAAACAGATCGAGATGGAGCTTGTTGTGGAGCCAGTCATTTGCTTATCGTGCTGCAAGTGCATCTGCATTTTTCCACATGGCTTCTCTCACTACAGGCAACTGTATACCAGCAGGAACTTGTTTTAGGTAAAAGAATCCACAGGGAGTGGAGAAACAGGGACAGAGAAGTGTGAAATTACATTTGAATACATCCTCCCATCCTTTTGGTGTGAGTTTATTCGTGGGCATGTGTGCATATACTCCAGAAGAGGAGGTTCCCATTTTTGTCTACAAACTCCAGCAACTTTAATACCCACACTGATCAGCTCCAGTGGTGCAGAAAAATATCCAAAACATCCAGCTTACAGTAAATGGCAGTTAACTGCTTCTTTTAGTTTGCCAAAATTATCATTTGACTACAGCTTCAAGGAACACACAGAAGAAAAAATTGAACCTACATCTCAGGTACATTGCGTCCGTAGTAAACGTGTAAAAGCACAGTTAAGATTTTAAAGACATTTTAATACACTTTAAGTTGTTGCAGCAGTGCATAAAAATGTAGAAAATATAGTTTTATGGAAATAATAGAAAAAGATGGCATGGCTAAACTACAATTGTTCTCTGCAGGTGATTGTGTTACAAACCAAGACTAAGAAGAGTAAATTCTACTCGAGAATGCAGCTTTGAGGGAAATGGGCTCCATAGGCAATAAACACATCTGAGAGAACTCTAGATTGTTTACTTTGTTTGATCTTGGTTGATATAATTCATTCTGAAATAATGTGTTTAAATTATTAACAGCTTTAGTTTATTACATGATAAATATGATGAACAAAAACTGTACTTTCCAAGCTCAATTGGAAAGCGCAGTGTTGGATATTTCTGTGCTCCGGTCAAGCACGAGGAACATTTTGCTGTTCTTTTTTTTTGCATCCTGATAGATAAGTGTGAATGAAATCAGTTTGAAGCCATAGCCACTCAGCCTGATTGGTCAAGTAACCAAGAATTATTCTTTGTTTATTTAACTTCTTATAAAAAAAACCCCCAAAAAAACAGGGATATTACTGATGGAGATTATGGAATTGTTGCTTGTGTAATCAGGAATCAAATGGTGAAGAAAGGCATAAAAGGAATGACTTCATGGCATTTCAATCTACATTGTTTCATGGTGAACTCCCTCTTCATTATTTACATGCATTTTCACACACTTGATTATTTTTACACATTTGGACCTGATTATTTGAGTGTTTCTCTCACCAAGACTTAGCTAAGACTGGCTGGCTGTGCAAGCCCTTTCTGACTTCTGTTTCCCTACTGGCAGGCTGACAGCCACTGTATCTAAAATCCTCCATTGGATAGATTCCAACTCCACTGTCTTGTGTTGCATCTAATGATGCTATTCTTTGCTTTTAAAGTTCACTGTTGGTCTCTAACCAAACGCTGTGCAGTGCAGAACAAGGACCACTGTTCTTAACTGCTCTCCAAGGGCACAAGGTTGCTCATGGCTCTGTGGTTTATTTGCCGTAAAGTAGAGCAACTTTTATTTGCAGAGTTGCATCGTTTATGTCGTGTTATTTATTCGTTCTTGATCAGTGAGTGGGTGAGTGGTTGCACAAACCAGTGAACCTACCTCATTCTTCAATATCCACCCTTTCCATTACCGCAAATTGAATCCAATTCCAGTTCGGTTGGGAAAAAAGCAGAATTCTATTATTTCATAACTGCGTACAATGTGTGTGCAGGAATAAAGGAAATATGCAAATACTATGAATGAAATCAGATACAGTTAACACACAGCATTTCCATCTCAGAGCACTGGCCACAGCAAATCTGTGTTCTTGCTGTTATCATTCATTTTTTAACTATGTTCCCTGAACAGTCTCCATGGGGTTGATGTAGTCTGTGCTTGAGTTTTAAATTGCTAATTCTAGATAACATCCCCTGATGCTTTGCTTAATTAGTCTGTTCTGTCTCTGTATTTTCTATAGAAATCCCTGAATCGGATCCCACTGAGAGCTCACCATCCAGTGAACATGTCAACTTCTCCAGTCTTCAGGGTCTCAGGCGACACCCTACCTTTGTTCCTGCTCCCAGCTCCCAGTTTCAGTGGGCCATCAAATCAATGCGCATTCCCAAACTAGGCCTTCCTAAAAATGTGGGCTATGTGGGTAAAAAACCCACCTGGGAGCCAATGGAAGCTAAAGCAGGACCCATTGAGATGATGACCCTGCCTACCTTCCTTCGACAGGACTACACAGATAATTATTCAGGTGAAGGCAAAGAGCAGGATACAGAGAATGTCAATACTCCAACTGCCAGAAGCGCATCAGGAGAGGAGAAAGTGATAGAGGGTAGTGGAGAAGGGAGCAACGTGGCGGATGGATTTGGAGTGAAAGACAACAATTTGGACAGCAGTGGCATCAAAGTGATTACTGAGTCGAAATCTTCACTCAGCCACAGTGATTTTGCCACTGTGACTGAGCGCACAACTCTGTCCCACTGGCAGCTGGTGGAACAGCCCACCACCCCACCTCAGGTCTCCCAGGAAACAGAGTCAGCAGAGGAGGCTAGGGGCGAGATCTTCTACATTCACAGGCCTACTGACAAGCTCTCATCTACCTCCTCACACAGCGGGGAAGTTAGTTCAAACTCCGGATTCACCCCAGTTTATAGAAAAGACAGTAAAGATACAAGCACTGATGAGGTGATGATTACTGCACATGAGGCTTTGATAGAGATGCTGACAACTTCTGAAATGACGACGGCAGAGCTTCTGGGCAGAGATGCACAGACAGTGGATCCTGCTACCACAGCAGCCACTATAGAAAATAGATCTTATACAGAGGAGCCATCTATTTCCATTTCATGGGCTCAGGAAGACAAGGAGAAAGCTACAAGTTTCCCCAACATGCAGGGCCTCTCATCGACTCCCTCACCCGAAGGAGCATCCACAACCACTTCTGGAGTCATTCACTTGACTACTGCCGTATCAGACATCAAGGTTGCTGCTACAGAAATGGAATCCAGATCTGCCGTTTCTGAGTCTTTTGTTGTGGGAAGCCATTGGACGCCATTCAAGGGCTTAAAGTCAGAGGAACATAAAACCCCGCCAACAACAGAAGATACTGGTACAAAGAATCCTTTTGGCATTCTTGTACCCAGCTGGGAATTTGGGCTCATCCCATCAGGTAGGTTAGCTTCATGTTGTTCCCAGTGAATTAACTGTCATTATTGTCTTCATCATTGTGATTGTCTAATCAGCAGAGATTTATTTAATTATGTATGCAGATTAGTTGGAGACAAAAGCATCAGTACCCTCCACCTTAAAACTAACTCAGATATAAAACATATGCTCCCAACTTGGTCTGTCTGTCACTTGTTGTTTCATTCTACATCCTGTTTCTGTCTCCTGCTTTGACATATATCATGCATTCTTAATCCAGCCTCGTTTGCCCTTTGTGCCTTCACATTTACTTTCATTCCTTGTCCCACCCTCCCACACTGGTATGGAGACAACTTTAGACAGAGAAGTAGTGCAGTGAAGTGAGACCAGCTAGGTCTTAGTGAAGTAATTAGCGGGTCACAGTGAGTGCAATTAGGTGAGCTGGGAAGAGGCAGAGATCCTAGTCCCCAACAAATCAATGTAGACACAAACTACAAGATGGAACTCGTAATAGACTGTGGTCTCTTCTTCTGTCTCATTTTCTTTTGTGTTCATGTTTATTTGACTCAGTCTTCCATTTTTGGTTCAACTATGTTTTCTTATACACTCACAATAATTGCAATGTCTGTGCTCTTTGTCTCACGACAATCACATCGATTTCTTTTGATACTTAATGCACCTGCTACTTGTGGCAGAAAACCTCAAAGTAAATGAACACGGAAAATGCTGCATGCTGTATAAGTCTACTCAGGTCTCTGAAATTTGTCTGGTTTTAACAACCAAAATGTGTTTGCTCAATGTTTAATGAATCTATGTGGAAGGATTGCAATATTTATTGCTCCTTAACTAATGCCTTATATTCATCCTCAGATCTGTGCTTCTAGGTTTTGAAAATGCATTTTTAACATCATGATTTGGATTATGAGTCATCCTGCTCAGTAAAGTGCATTTCTAAAAGTTTTATGTCATCACATGGAGTTGGTGCTGTTGGGAATCACATTGCACGTGGCCCACATACTGTACAGTTTTTTATATAGATAGATAGATAGATAGATAGATAGATAGATAGATAGATAGATAGTGTAAATCAATCTATCTATCTATCTATCTATCAGTCAAAAGTTTGGACACACCTTCTTATTTAATGGTTATTCTTTATATAGGCCAAGGGTTTGCAGCACTGTCAATAAAACAAAGGGTGGCTACTTTGAGGAATCTAAAATATACGCCAATTCCATATCTTGTTTTAAAATATTTGATGTTTTCAGTATGAAGACATTGAGAAGGTGTGTCCAAACTTTTGACTGGTATATGCATTTAAAAATTATTATATATATTAAAATAAAAAGTCTGAATATATCGAATGAAGACATCCCCACAGGAGAAATCAGATTTGGTCGAGTGATGTTTTCTAGTTTACAGGGAGCTGTAAAGCAGGAGATGAGCTTTCATCCGTTTAATAACAACAGGAGTAGGAGATAGATTTTGATTTCAGTCGAATGCACCCCAGCAAACCAATAACGTAGGCTCAACTCTGTCTTGTTTGCTTCAGGTGCATGCATTCAATATATTTCACATTTTATGAATGCTTTCCATGGAGCATGACCATGACCCATTATGCAATCATTTAATTTAGTGAACGTGTAAATCCTGCCAAATTATTTTATTCAGAGAAGGAAAAAACTGTTTATATAAGTGCAGCTCAAGGGCATTTAAAAAAAAAAAGTAAACACTATATTCTCTGTGTTCAACTGTTTATTACATCAGAAAAAGAAAAGAAAACAGTCAGTAGTAGAGGACATTTTGTCTTTATCATGGTGATATTTGAATGGACTGAGTGGCCCTGCTCTTGTTGAGTGATTAGAAGCATGAGACCACTTCCTCTGTGTGACCTTTTATAGTTGTCAGTTTTTAGTACAGAGGAAATTACAGCAATGGTTGTCTGCCCATTACTTCAGAGAGATAGAGACAGAGAGAAGGGAAAGGGCAGGAGGATGGACAGCCCTGGGAAGTAAGAATAGGGGGCGGGAGGGTTGAGGCAGTGCTTGAGAGAGGTGAGCATGTCCTCCACAATGCTGTGGGTAGGAGAACATAAAGCTCTTTAATCAATGATCAGAGACTACACTAACCATAGTCCTGTGGGCATCCAGAGAGCACATTGTTCCTCCCCATGTTTTCTTTTTCCTCTCCTCCTTTTTCTTTTTTAAATTTATTTTTTTACATGTCTGTGCTTCCTTCCGATCTTCATTCATCGCTGTCTGATCAGGCTCAGCCCCTCTGTGTCCTGTTTGGCTATATATCTCTGTGCTAAGACAATGGTATATAACGAAACACCCAGCTTTTCCAATCCCTTGTTGCTTTGCCCTCCAGCTAAACCCACACAGATGGGTGGACACACACACTCAAACACAAACACATACATAAGGGGGAAAAAGATATGTGAAGAAGCACCAGCATGCACAGCTCACTCTGAAGTAAACCTCTCTAATCCATCCCACATGTCACACCATCATATACAAACACACACACAGGATATGTGCTAATCCCTCTCTGTGAACACTGTGAAAAGTAGAGACATTTATTTTCTTTTTAAAATTTATTTTATCTTAATTTCCATATTGTATAATCCTAAAGACGGCATTTGTTGAAGTTTGCAACTACGAAAAGTTACAAAAATTGATTTCCAATCCAACGTGTCTCAACAAGCATGGAAATTTACCAAATGCTTCGGAGCACTGGCATCCGGCCCTTTAGGGTGATGAAGCGAGGCAGGTGCATACAGTAATATTGGCTGTCTATCCAACCTTTAAATTACCAATGCTGGTCTGATACTCTGGCAAACAGGGAGCAGGATGCCTCTGACTTATAGCCATTTTGACTGAAGCCTTGTCCCAGGCTCTAGATGGATCAGACCTCTGGCAACATCAATAACACGGCAGCCAGCCCTCTACCAAATTAGAGTGTTAAATTTGGAGGAGAAAAGCCAGTAGGTTGAAGTGTGTGCATGTGTGCGTGCGTGTGTATGTGTTTATGGGAGGAGACGGAGATAAATGGAGACAGGGACAGACTGGGGTGGCATATTATGAGTGTGGGTCTGTGGATAGATGTTCAGTTTGTCTGCTGGCTGTTGGAGTCCTTGGATAGGCTGTCTGGAGCAGCAAGAGGGCACATTCTCAATGCTGCATATAGAAGTGTATTGATTTTCCTGCCTCTCGCTCCCTGTGTCTTCCATCTTTTTTTTTTCTTGACTATCCTTCTTTCCCTCTGCCCTACTAGCTTTTCTCATCTCCCTCCTTACCCATCTCCCTGACTTTATGTCTTTTATTACTCTGCTGGTCATTGTTATGACTCTCCCTGGCATAATGTTTTGATAGCCTCTTGAACTCCAACATGATACAACACAAGGCAGTCAATTGCTGTCTAACTGTATCTGTCCCCTGTAGGATCCTCTGCCTCAGCAAAATCACTTGCGTTTAAAAAAGAAGTCACCTCACTTTAAATCCATTCATTGCCTAATCAGTCATCCTCCCCTCTACTTTCCATCTCCAAGTTTCTCTTCTTTCTTTTCATGGTGTAATTCCACCATTTTTCCATATCAAACACTCCTGCCGAATCGAATCCAGCGCCACTGGCTGCTGCTTATTAAATGAATGGGCTTTGTTAAAGAGGAGCCTTAAGGGACTTTTGGTTCTATCGTGGTGTGGGATGAAATGGTGTTACATACCGCTCTGTGCTGACTGAGCATAGGCCCTTTGTATCCCGTTAACCAGGGAAATAACAGCACTACCAAAGTGTTGAAAATGAGCTCAGATCAACTATGCTGAGCCTTTTGTGTACATCATTAACTGTTAATGATATTAATGCAGACCAGTCTTAAATCCACTGAAATCTCCAGTCTTAAATCTCCATCAAATCCTACTGTCAGTTTCTCTGTAAACAGATGTATAACTTTGAGGATATCTCAGTGATTAGTCTCAGGTGAAGTCTACTAAGGAGAGGATGTCATTCTTTGAGGAAATAATCATGCCGGGACCCAAATACAGAAACCACGGAGGCAAAATGGAAATTTACAAAAAATTCACTCCTTTATTTTCAGCACACAAGTATGACTGAACAAAATTTCATTCAATACAAGTGTATTTTTCAAAAACAAACACTAAAAGTCCTAATCAAAACAACCAAATGTAGTAGATTATCTTGAGATCACAAATGAATTATATGCAGAAACAGAAGGGCTTTGTGACAGCAACCTGACGAATATGGAGGGAGAAAATGCATACTAAATAAATACACCAGGGAGAAGGGTAAGAAGGTGCAGGTGAATTCAATTAAGACAATAATGAGGATGGGAGACGGAAAAAAAGAAGACAGTAAGATGCAGAAATTAGCATGAAGAACTAACCTACAAAATGATTACTGATTACTACAGCTATAAAAAAAAGTCAGTAATTTGCCCCTCAGGGATAGGAGAGCAGAGACAAACAGAAACAAACAAATCCATTGTTTTACTGACAAACTAGTCTTTTCTTCATTCTTGCTACAGTTACTTGTTATGTTGTCAGTTTGTATTCCCTCAATGGTCAGACACAGTGTTACCACCCTAAGATTAGCCTTTAGGTCCGTATCCTCAGGTAAACAAGATGGTCTCAATTTCCAGTCAACTGAAAGATCTCTTACAAGTGTGAATCGATAACCCCTGTTTTACCCCCAAATCACAGTTTACAAGAGAATTTTGGACAGCAGGACAATAAGTACAGCTGGTATCAAAACCTTCTTTCATTTGTTCTTACAGAACAGAGCAAAACTACATCAATACTATCACGCTGTTAGTCATGGCATTAACTCCAGCAAACTATAGACTGGATGGACATGATGGATGTAGCCCTTTTTTTAAACTCTATATTGCTCAGCCAGCTATACGTGCAACTTAGGTGCAGTTTGTTTGTTTTTTTAATTATGGTTGGATCTGCCCCTTAATGCATCTCCTCATACTGTGTTTCATTCTTAATCATAGTAAGAATGAAA